TCAAAAGACCACATCTTATACAAGGGTACACTATTCTTTTAGGGTTTTTTACATGCTCAAAAGCAAACCTCATAAACTCTTTCGCACCATTTAAATACTCTTTACTTAATTTCTTGGTAGACATCTATTATTTATCCATAACTCTTTAATCTAAAAGACATTTTATTTAAGGAAATATGATCAATGACTCATGAATATGGAGAGGAAAGAAATGATAAAAAGATTATCAATAAATAAATTAACTACTCTACATATAATATAGAGTAATTAATGAATCATAAGTCATAATGCATGAGCATTCACATATTCCTTCAACTGCCAAAACAAAATTCAGCAGCATAATGGCATAAAGAAAGTATTTCCTAGTCTAAAACATCTTTTGAGTCCTGGCATCTCACTCATAACACCAACAAAATTCTCACAAAATAGCATTTTCAAATTAACTCTAATTATTATATAATTATATCTAAAATTCGTTCAAAAATCATAGAAAAAAGAAAAACACTATAAACATCATTTTAAATTAATTTTTTCTATCTCATTGATCATTCTAAGGTTATAAAAATTCTATATTAACAATCCCAAGCCAAGAACAAATCATTCTTTACCAAATGTAAAAATATCAATAAAATAGCAATAATTTTTAGAAAAACCATGTGTCAGCTTCGGTCACTAAAATGAACTCTAATTGTAATAAAAATTGGTACACTAGTACATTTTAATATGTAGTTTTGAATGATAAAAATGCTCTGATCAAACAAGGCACAGAATTTAAATTTAAAATTATTGAAATAAATCAGTTAAAATTCATAGAAAAATACAAATATCATAAATATCCCGTTTTGATTACTAATTTTTATCTTACTAATTATCCTAAGGCTAAGTATATCATCTACTACTATTCTCAAGTCAATGACACATTAAATATTAACAATTTTTGACACCCCACAATATCAAAATGGGCAACAAATTAGGAGAAATTTAAATAACAAAAATCAACTAATAAAATAATTTATAACATTAAGTAAATCAATCCCATAATCTAGAAATCTAAGGATATTGGAAGAAAATGGAGAAAAATCATAGAAATCACACACCCACATACCTTGGAAAAGTGACGTTGAAACACAAAAAGGAAGTAAATGAGAGGGCAACAGACGGCATAGGTGGTAGCACTTTCATGTTAGAGAGGACGAAAGAGGTTGACGGAAATAATGGAGGAAAATTGAGAGATTTCTATCGATTTTTTGTATGCAGGTGGAGAAGAGAGAATACGTGAGAAGATGAACGAGCAGGCATAAAAAATAAATCTAAAAACTAATTAAAAAAGAGAATAAATGATGGGTATTTTAATACTCGTCATTTATCTGGAAAACTTTAAATGACAGGTATTTGAACACCCGTAATTTAAAGTTTAAAATTTTTTATTTTTTTATTTTAAGAAACTAAAATGTTGGGCAACAATACATGAGAAGACAAATGAGAAAGAATGAAAATGAAATTGAAAATTGATTAAAAAAGAGAACAAATGATGGGTATTTTAATATCCACCATTTATCTGGAAAACTTTAAATGACGGGTGTTTGAACACCCATCATTTAAAGTTTAAAATTTTTTATTTTTTTTATTTTAAGAAACTGAAACGTTAGGCAATAATATATGACGAGTGTCTAAAATAAATACTTGACATATATTGTTTAGACTTTAAATGACGGGTATTTTAAATACCCGTCATTAAAGTTCAATTTTTTTTCCTTCTAAAAAATGAAACATTGGGCTAAAATAAATTATAGGTGTTTTAAACACCCGTCATTTAAAGTCTGAAAATAATGATGGGTAAACACCTGTCGTTTATTTTCAAACCATCACCCACCTCTCTCATATAGCGTCTTATATTTACATTTTTGTAGTAGTTGGTAGAAGGAACCACTACCAGAATTTTAGGGATATGAGGTAAAATGGTGAAACGTAGACTATCATAGTCCAAGTATTTGGATTAGGATGGTTTATGGTGGGTATCAAATTGAGTAATTCCTCGTGAGCATCCTAATCAATAATACTCTCTTCAGTTTACTTTCCTGTTACCCATCTCCCTTCCATTCCCCTCAAATCCTCAAACTAAGCAAAGGGTCAATATCCTATGCATCACATGGGATATAAAACCTAGTTTTCCTTAAACTTCCAAAAATACCTTTTATCTATTAATAGGGGGAATATAATTAAGGAGTGAAATAATGAGGGATAGTTTTTAAATAAATTTTATTAATGAATCATTATTTTTCTTAAACCATCTTATCTTATATTATGTATGAGACATCAAATTACTAAGAAAAACATCATATAAATGGGGCAGAGGTTGTACATACATACATACATATATTAACCTTTTATATAGTTTTAATACATATTTAAGTATTTAGATTTATAATGTTCCTTACAATTTATTATTTTCTTTTTTAAAAAATATTATCTACGTTGGCCAGAGTTTCAACTCAGCTGACTCTAATTATATTTGTTATTATTTTCATTCGATGTAACTGGACTTAATATGTTTTGTTAGATTACATATATAAAATTAAATTCCTTACCAATGTTAAATTATATAGTACACACACACACACACACACACACACACACACACACACACACACACACACACACACACATTTCTGTCTGTATGGGTGTGAAATTACTTTATTCAAGAAAAATATTTAATGTGCAAACAGATAATGATTAAACACTAAAGAAAAATAATCCAAAATCCAAGCAAACAATTCCATCAGACAGAAATGACATAAAGAATGAACGCTTGGAAAGATGAAGGCACCATCAAATTATAAGACAATTCAATGGCGCAAACTGATTTCTCAATGGTCAGCCTAAGTATATAACAAAGCGTCAATATCATGAATCCTATCAAATCAAATTTACCTAAAAATCAAAACATGATAAATGTTTTATTTAGTTAGAATAGCTTCCTCATGTTTTTCCCAGCCTTTGAACGCCTATATACACACAAACTACGCTCGGAAATGCATAAAACTAACATATTAAAGATTGCTCAGAAAGTAAAGAAAGAGAGTTTGAGTGCTTTCAAAATTAAGAACTTCCCAGTAATCAACTTGGAGAAGCTTAATGACGAAGAGAGACAGGCTACTATGATTAAAATTCATGATTCTTGTGAGAATTTGGGGGTTTTTTGAGGTATTAATCAATATTGCATTTTTGTGATTAGTTATTTTTGTTAATTTGGTGGGAATTATTAAATAAATTCTCATCGTGTTTTCTTGTAGTTGGTGAACGATGGGATATCCCATGTAACTATTGGACACGGTGGAAAGGTTAATGAAAGAGCATTATACAGGAAATGCATGGAGAGAAGATTCAAGAGTTTGTGGCAAGCAAAGCCATAGAGAGTATTCGAGCTGAAGTTAAGGACATAGACTAGGAAAGCACCTTCTTCTTGCACCACTTGCCTAAGTCAAACTTCTCTGAAATCCCAGATCTCATTGACGAAAATAGGTTAGCACAATACAAGCTAAGTGTCGTTTCCTAACAACAAAAGAATTTAACCAAATAGAAAGCATTCAATAACAACAAGAAGAAGCTTATCTTATTGGTTAGAGTCAGCTACATGCATTGAACGACATCATTATACTCTATTATCAATCAAGATTTTAGGAATATCATTATTCAAAAGGGCTTGTTTAACAACTTTCATGAGTATTATCTTTAAACTTTCTCTACCCCTCTTTGCAAAACTTAAGAGTATCCACTCCACATTTATCATCGATGCATCCCATGACATCTTCTTTACAAGGCCAAATCATCTCAAATTATTTTCTGCTATCTTCTATTCAATAGATGCCACATCCACTTTTTATCGTACACACTTATTTTTGGATTTTTATCCCAAAAATATCAAACACAAGCATTCAAACTTGAAGAATAAAAATAATTGTTTTTTCTTTACTACTTTTATCAAGGAACGTGAGAATAAACATTTTGAGGTACCATGTTTATTATGCGTCCCCATACATGTGTTTTAGGGTACTATATAGAAAGTACATATAAGATATAAATCAGTAATATGAAAACAACTTTATAATGTGTAAACGTACCTAGCTTTATACATATTCTGAACTATTTGAATTGAAAATGCAGGAAGTTAGTGAAGGATTTTGCAGAACAAATACAAAAACTTGTAGAGAAACTACTTGATTTGCTTTATGAGAATATTGGACTAGAGAAAGGCTATCTCAAGAATGCCTTCCATGGATCAAGAGGACCAAGTTTTGGCACAAAGGTCGCCAACTATCCTCCTTGCCCTAACCCTAAAATTGTGGAGGGTCTTCGTGCCCACACCGATGCTAGTAGTATCATCCTCCTCTTCCAAGATGACAAGGTTGGTGGCCTCCAATTTCTCAAGGAAAGCCAATGGATTGATATGTCTCCAATGTGCCACTGCATCGTCGTAAACCTTGGTGACCAAATTGAGGTATTAAACATAACTTGTCCCATAAATTAACTCAATAGTATATTTACTATATTCTCTATTGGGATGTAAAGTGTGAGTTGACTCAATTTGATATGAAAAAACATGTCTCACATCAGATGAAATTTGGCTGGTTAAGAGATATACGAGTAAAAAACACCAATAAATTCAAACGAGAGGAACCTCTCTTGTAATGACTTTAAATTTTAAATTTAAAAATAAAAATTCTCTTAATTTATATTTTATTAAAAATTAGTTTTGTGGCAAATTGTGAGTATTGAATTAGTGGAACTTATGCTAATAGCTTACCTAAAAATTTAAAATTTGAATTCTTTTGAGTAAAAAATTAATTTTATTTAGTTTAAATTTTGAAAAAAAAATTATCAAACTGTCCTTGTCTTGCATGTCATAAAAGAAATATTTTGGGACTTTTCTTGTAATTTTCGCAATTTTTCTTGTATTTGGATCTTTCTTCTCCAACTTCATGTTCAGGCACACGCAACACGCAACAGGGGAGACAAACTCTCTGGATCCTTCGATCGTTCGGGGTGCTGTCGCTGTCTTTCCTTTCCTCTTCGATTCTCTAGATGTTTCACGCGGCAGCCTCCGATCATCGTCGTCCCATCACCCATCGTCCTTCCGGTAGTATTTCCTCTGCTTTTCACCGCTGGTTTGGCTCGTCCTTGTGCTCTGTAATTCTGGGCTGATGTGGAGTGCGTGGCAGTGGTCTTGGGTGTCCAAATTAGTGTCTCTTCCATCTTCTCCAACAGCTTGCGTGACTAGGAACATGGGTAATTGACTCTTCTTTTCCTTCTCCTGGTCGTCTATGAGTGTGCATCTAAGGGATGTGCGTTTTTTTGTCTTGTGTTTTGTCGTGGTTTTTGAAGAGGAAAACTGAAATTTATGCCTTATTTGGTTGTTGTTTGAGGAAAGTATTAGATATTCCAATGGATTCTTGATAGAAGACTTTAGTGGAATGAATGTTATTAAATTTTCAATTTATATTTTAGAGGTTTGTTGCTGAATCCTCCTCCCTATTCAGCTGAGGTTTTGTTTCTTCTCCCTGTTCGTGCATCTTTGGTTCATTTAAGAATAAGCAACTTTGATCTCTTTTCCTTCCATGGTTGGTTTTGTGCGTGTGAATGCAAGAAATAATGATGTTAAAATTGCAAAATTTTGTTGTGTTTTGCTGCTGCTACCTAGAAGAATGAGAATTTAGAACCCAACAAACAAATTTGTAGATTTAGAAAAAAGTCAATAAATTTGTCTGCTCACTCCTACGTTTCATTGTTAAAAGCTTTTTAGTGGTGAATTTTGAACAAGTCAGTTTTTTGTAGTGATTCTCTTCATTATCATATATAAGAAACAAGTTGCTAAGATTTTTTATCATCATATAAAGAATATTACTGAGATCAATGAATATTTAATTTTCTTTTTTCAAAAATGGCCACAGTACCCTATATTTTTCCATGTAATAGCAATAAATAAGGGAAATGATAGATTATAACCCATACGCTTTAAATATGGGAACAAATGAAAGAGGAAAAAATTTACACACTTAGCTACCTTTAATCATTTTTATGGATAATGTGTATATTTGTTATAAATATTATATGATGTGGGTGTCCATAACTCCTTCCAACTCTTCCTTTTGGTCTGTCATCCTCTATAATTTTACACAGCTAACTGCTTTTAATAGTGTTTTCTATTGTTTAATACCCATAAAAAATCCGTGGTTGCAAGCTATAAATTCAAAGCTTACATATTGTATATTTTTGTGATTAATCTTGTTATTTATTCCATTGTAACTCTTGGGTAGGGTTAAAAATCTATAAATAGAGATTATGTACCTCACATTTCATACACCTAGGTGAAAATAATAGTCTTAAAGATTAATTAACATATTTATTTTTCCTAGACACGTTGCAAATGGACAAGTTGAGAATCCAAGGCGACGATGTTTTGTACTGTCCATTAATTATTTTTCTATGGTCACTAAATTCATGAGCGATGGTTGCAACATGGCTAGAAGCCATTCGAGCAATAAAGGAAATGATTCATTGAAAGTAAATGTCATAATGGTTATGGAGCCAAAAAGACATTGAGATAATAAAGAAAATGCTAAGCGTGTTACGAAACCAGGCACACCAAAAAGTAATTGTTGGTCATATTATGACATTAATATCATGCCAATTTATTTGTAAATTTAAATACATGAAAAGAAAATATATTTTGCATCGATTTTAAACATTCATCTTGATTCTTGACATATATATTGCAATTAAACTTGTTGTATGTCAAGCTTGGGAAAAAGTAATGAGAAAAATTATATATTTGAATCACGTTTGAAATGGAAAAATAAGAATTTATCTAATTTTATGATAAAGATTATTATGAATAAATGATTTTGTTCAATCTGACTACTATATTAATTATTCTCCTTGTAAAGCAAAGCTAAAGAATGGTTCAATAATCTTCTAGAAGGATTTGTTGGCACTTAGGATGAGCTGGAAAGCAATTTAGAGCCTGATTTTTCTCTGATGAAAAATCTATGGAGGCTGTAGAAGAATTTCTCAATTTTAGCCAATATCCAAACAAGAATCTTCACACTCTTCCATCATTGTTTCGCAGAATCTTCTAACATAAAAGTGGAGAGAAGAACCTTTTGCTTAGAGGTGTAGAACATCACTAAGAATAATGCCTCCAGCATGTTTATCCACTCCTTAGCTGCTCTCAATTCCATGGACCTGTCAAAAGAGAGTGGGTTCAGCCGCGTAAACTTCTTCAAAGCTATATCAATAGAACCCTTAGTACTACTAGGCTGCTCAATCCTCCTTGACATACTCTCCTTAAACACATCCTCTTCATAAATTTCTTCATCCTTACCAGCATCATCATTAACCCAATCATCGTTGCCAATACTCTTACTACTTTCTCCCTACCTTCTCTCCAATAGAACATCAAGCTCCTATATTGTCTTCTTAATACCCAGCATCATCTATTGTAGTTCTTGTAGGATTGCATCATTATCTTGAGGTCTCAATTGTTTCAATATAAAAACTAGCTGTTTCGGTTGTGGAACATTTTTCAGGAGATTATCGGTAGTAGCTGGTCATCATCACATAATTCTCCCCTCCTAAGGTTGAAATAATCATAAAAAAGAAAACATGTTAGTCACTAGCCATACAAAGGGACATAATATATGTAAAATAATAATTGCGAACTCTATATGCAAATGCACAAGCCATCACAGCACACAATCGCAAGACTAGATCTTGAAACTCGAGAATATGATACTAAGTTGTAATATCAATCATGTTAATTAGGGAATAACCAAGTCCAAGTGCTAACATAACCAATCATAGTAACAGATCATAATATTACTACCATACTTAATATAACCATACTTATCATAACCAATCATGCTTTGGCTTGTAATTACATGATTGGTTATATTAATCCTGGTAATTACCAAGCCATAGTTAATATTTTACTACAGTTATAAAGCAACCAATCATAGTAGAAAGAAAAAGACTTAAATTAGAGATCTACTATGGTTACATAGATTAGACCAATCAAATTATAACCTTAAAGCTCCCTACTATGGTAAATTAAATTCTACCATAGTAGAATGGTCCAAAACCAATAAATTAAAACTATATGAAAACCAAAATAGTTAAAATGCTAATTTCTGTATAACCATAACAAGAATAGGATCCAAAGTTTTATAATTTAATTCTAACTAAAGATAAGATTTTGACATAACAATAAAACATATGGAAGCATGAAATACTGTTTAGACTTGAAAATATTTAAAAACAGAGTTAAAAATTACATTTTTCTTTGAAATGAGATGCCCACTGTAGCCAAAGTTGGTGCACAGTGCCCAACTCTCCTCTGTTCCATGTGTTGTGGAGCAAGGGCCGTCCGCTATAGCACATTGTATAGACAATGATTGTCTAGTTACATATATGGGGACTGAACTTTTGGTGTGCCCCAAATCTTCATCCAAAGTTAGATTGAAGTGATTTAGGTGTTCACAAAAAGCTTATTGAGTATACTCATTGATGGAATTGTTTTATTTTCAAATTATTTCATACCAAAGAGTTGGATTCCCAAACTCAAACTAATAGCATTTTCACATTTTTTTACAATCATGGTGTTCAAAACTCAACCCAAGTGTCAAAAGCATAATCTAACACTTAGATTACATTCAAGGGATTTAGAATAACTTGTATAATGCACCTTATCAATCAAGTACAACATATATATAACAATTTCACTTCTCAACCCCAAATTCCACAAATTCAAAAGGGGAGATTTAAATATCATTTTCTCAAATAATTATCCACTATCACCAAACTAACCATGACCATCATTGCGCCAGTATTTTAGTTCTATACATATAATTCATTTTGCATAACACATACAGTATGGCTTAAAATACAACCAATCACAATAAAACATTCAATGGTATAAGTATATCAAAATATAAACCTAGTTGAAAATATCAAATAAATTACACACACACACACACACACACACACACACACAAAACAAAAATACAAAAGGCTTACAGTAGGAAAATAGAGTTCCTTAGCCTTAGGTCCTTTCTCTTTGTCTTGCTTGGAGCTAGTGCCTATAAAATGTTTAATAAGAAGTGAGTACAACCATTTAATAACTTGAGTAGTTTAAAACATGTACATGCAAGTCAATCAATTATAAGCATGCAAAGTGGGCAATCTCTTAGTCACCATATTCATGAACATAAAACATCATAATATTTAATTTCATATTCATCAATGATATGAAAATATTCAATAAGATACATGATCAATAACCTCCCTTGTCACCTCCTAACACCTTCTATTGAATCCATGATTTATGAAATTAAATAGGGCTACATCCGTATGAATGGATTAACCCAAGCTCACCAACTATAAGGAGCTACCTAGCCAAAGGTGCTACACTCACTTTTGGACCATAAATTCTCTTATTCTTGAATAATTGGGGTATCGCTAGCACTATCCCATACTCAGTCCAGGTTGATGTTAAGGCTTAAGGGTATGGGTAACCTACCCCATACCCACTTTGTAATGATTCTAAATTTTAAGTTGAACAAAAAAAATTTCTAATGAATATTTTTGTTTAAATAAGTTTCATAAAAATGAGAAAAGGGGCAGTTGTAGGAAATTATACTAGAAAATTTTTCAAGGATCTAGAATCCAAATTTTTCCTAAGTAAAAGCTTGCTTTTAAATTATAGAAAAATTTTGTGTTCTTTCATTGTAATTTTCTTGTGCCTTTCATTGTAATTTTCTCGTGCTCCTTTTTGTAATTTTTCCCATGCTCCTTATGTTCAGATTTCATTTCTTTTATGTGAAGAAAAACAAAGTGTCTTTGATTCATTTTTCTTACTGCCTTCCTACACTTCTCTATATCCTTAAAGTCGGTCCATTTCTCTAATCCTTACTAACACACTTAGCTCGCTGTTGACTGACCATTTTTATGGCTGTCGTTGCTTCATATTACCTCACCTTCTTGTCCTCGTTTGCCAGCAATTGTAAAACTGAGTTGTTGATTCTCTCCCATAATATCGTGCTGCTTTGTGTCCACGAGAGGCTGTCATCAGTTTGTCGTCTTTGTTGCCACCTTCCTATTCTCCTCGGTCTTTGTTCGTTAGTCACAGTGGAGATGTCTATCTTCCTCATTTTATTGCTCTATTTTGTGGTGAGTTGGGCGTGTATAGGTGGTCAGTTTTTTTTCTCTTTTCTTCCTTCCCTGTCGTTGAAGTTCAGTCTGTGTCTAGGTGGTAATTGCTTCTTTTATTGTTGGTTAAAATCATAGTTTCTTCCTTCTTATGTGTTGATAGATTTAAACCCTTATCTTCTTCTTCTTCAATGCTGTTTAGTGGCTGAATTATACTTGCTATCACTGAGCTTTGTTGAGGTGAGATATTGTTTTCTTTCCTTCCTCTTTAGGCTATACATCACCGCTAAATCATTCCCTTCTTTTTCCAACTCATTGATGTGGTCCGTGTTCTTTATTCTTGATATGCTAATTGTGGTTAAGACTGAAATGTTGCACTTAGGTTGGAAGTTAGGCCTAGTATTAAATTTTTCTGCCTTCTATATATTAGATGTAGTGAACTGGAATTTCCCTACATTATTACTGCTGGATGATTGAATAAAAAGAGCATTTTTGGGTTTTCTTTTGTTAGTCTTAAGTAATATATAAATAATGGATGATGTGGTTTGAATGTTAATGCGCTTATGGTGTTGAGAAAATAAGTAAAAGAGTCAAAGTAGAGTAATTAAGTATATCCAATGTCTAAAGACTAATACTATGGATTTAGGAATTGTTTTTAACAATTCTAATCTATTTTCAATAAAGCAGTCACTACTACAAAATACCCCCTTACTTGACGTTATTTTAGAAATTATTTGACGGTTTTTAACCGTCAAGTAATGGGGTGCCATATATTTATTTGGCAGTTAAAAACCATCAAATATCTTAGAGATTACTTGACGGTTATTTCAAAATAACGTCAAGTAATCACTTAAATATTACCATATACTGCAGCAATATACTTGATGATTATTTAAAATAAACATAAAATATTTAGTAATATTTAATGGTTATTTTGTAACAATTATCAAATTGTTTTTTGCAAATTCTGTATGCCAAGTACTTGACGATTATTTCATAATAACCATCAAGTATGTATACATACTTGACGTTTATTTTGAAATAACCATCAAGTAAAAGTTTACTTGACGGTTGTTTTGAACTAACTACCAAGTATTTATGATGTGTCTTTTTAAAAGTTGAAGCAGCTCCCCTGTAAATACAAAGCAATCAAATATATACCAGCCAGCCAACAATAAAAAATAATTGAATCATTATTTATATTAAAATTACAATCCAAATATCTTTAATTTATCTTATATCTACCTATACTTTAAACCTGATGCCATAAAAAAATCTATAACTTTACCTATTTTACAAGTTAAAATTTCAAACTTAATTGGTCTCAGACATAAAATTGACCAAAAAAATAAATGTGTATACCAAAACTAATTGGGCCTAACCACTGTTGCTATCCACATGTTAAACACGACCTGAGCTACCTCTTCAAGGGTTTCCTCTATATGTGCAGCTACATACTAAACACAGTAGGTATCCTTAAAATACTATATGCAAAGAGTTACAACAAATTCAAGTTAATAGCTGTCTAACAAAAGTTGTTAAAATTTATAATTTAAGTATTATTAAATTTAAAATATACCTTGTTAGGTAATATGGTAGGGGCATGGGTGATAATGTCCTTCAAGAATCTCATCAAGCAATAGCCACAGTCATTGCTTTGATCTAGCTGGAGTAGACACTGTAAAAAAAATCACATATCAATAAAATAATAGTTAAAAGGCCACGGTTTGTTAATTAAAAACTCAGTCTATTAGGTTTACCTTAACTATTACCTATGTCTCACAAGAGTCTAATGCCTTTAAGCTAGGGGACAAGGTCTTGTTGGTCACAATACGATACAAGACCATAGCTCTAAGAAGGAAATAAAGAATAAATGTCAGAAATTCAATATATATGGATATTAAAATAACGATTGATAAAAATTTAACTTACTTATTAAAAAGTTCTACCATATCTGGCCTGTTGCTTGGTTCTTTGTTAAAAGGATCGAGATACCAAATTTTTGAAGCAACAGAGTTAATCACGATAAGCATCCAGTGCCCCCTAATAAGAAATAACAAGTGTTATCAAATAAGTAAATATAAAAAATATTTACTTATACCAAAAGTAGCTAGAAGGTGGCTTACCCTTGGCAGTAAGGAGCAAGAAATAAAGTATCATTGCTTTCTCCCCTATCCTTAAATTGATCTAAAAGCTGCCTTGCTTGATCTTCAAGAGCTTCCTTTGTAATTCCATTATAGGTAGAGACATCGTGGGGATTAATCAGCTTGAATCTCAACTCAAGGCCGCTAGGAACCATAAATGAGGTATAAAGGTGGCTTAGGTGAAAAAATAACCAGGTTAATACACGCACGTGCACACATACATATATATAATTTAAGTAATTAACTGAGCATTATCGAAAAAATACCTCTTGTAGAAGCTCATCAGACTAGTACTGGCCGTTTTGTGCTTAAGAATTTCATTTAAAATTTCATCCCGGACAACTTCAAACAAGCTTAGTCTTCCATACAGCCCATCATCAAAACTAATGATATCCCCAATAGCCACTTGACAAGCCATCCTCGTAGCTATCGCATATGTCTCAAGAGAGGCACGATATTTATATTCTACAGCTGGCACCAGTGCTGCTGGATATTGCGAAACTGTGGCTGACTCTTTGGTATGGCCCGACTTGCCTTTTAGCTTGCTCTTCCCTCTCAACTGCACAACAAAAAAGTTAGATATTTATAATTATATTACAAAATTATAAATAAATATTTAAACCATACCTTTTTCTTTGGAGGCAATGGGTCCTTTGCTGGCTTTGGTGTTACCACTATTACAAGGCAACTAGGCCATGCAATGAAGCTTCTTACTGCTTCCCCCACCGTCTGTGCCTCATCAATAAGAACAGGCAATGGATAGTTGGGGTCGATGGCAACAAGTAGAGAAACTCTAACACAGTCAGGTAGGAGGGGATGATTATGGATCGTGTTTGTAACATCCCAAAAATTTTAATACTCGAATTTATTTTAAAAAAATAAAATAAAATATCTATAATTAAATTAAAATTTAGAATAATTTGATAGAGGTCCAGAGTTTGAATTTTTCTTAGCAAAAGTTTGGTTCTATTTGATTTTTAACTATGGAAAAAATTACCAAAGTTGACCCAAGCTTTTGTGCTATAATAAAAAATGTTGAGCAAATGTTGAGCCATTTCTTGTAATTTTTCCCAAGGTATTAGATTAGTAATTTTAAGAGCAAAAGAAAGGAAACTGAAAAGAAAAAGAAAGGAAACGTGTGAGAGAGAGAGAGAGGAAGAAGAAAGGAGAAAGAGAGAGAGTTAGGCTCGGATCCAGGAGACTTTGCAGCCATTGTGAGCTTGACTACGCGATAGGTAAACTCCCTACTTTAATCCTCTTCCCTTCCTCTTTGTTTTTCTCAATTTTTGGAAGAGGAAATTTGTAGATTTTGATCCCAAAGGCTTTATTCTTGTAAGCTTTTATTTCTTTGGATCCTAGGAAGGATGTTTTGAGTTTCTATATAATGATCTAATATTTTGAGTGGATAATTGAATGAAAAGAGGTGTTTTAGGCACAAATTAAACCCTAAGAGATTGGGTTTTTGCTCCTCAATAGTTTAAGTCTATTAATTTAATTATAATTTTGCTATTTGAGCCCAATAAAATTTAAATTAAGGTTTGGTTTTCATTATAAGGGCTAATGGTGAAAGTTGGTGACACTAAGTGAAGGTTTTTAATTGATTAAAAATTATATAAATTGAAAATTAGCCTAGTGATGGCTAATAAATGATTTTGGTGGTTAAGTGATACTATGTGAATGATTAGTTTAATATATGGACCATTGGGATGGATTATGGCTCATAAACCCAAGTTGTGTGGTATGAGTTATAGTCTTCATTAATGCTATTTGATATGATAAGTGATGTGGATTACTTAAATGTTGTAGGAATTGTTGGTGGAATTTGTTCGAAAGTTAAGGAACAAACCGAGCCCTATTTTGTATAAGAGGAACCCTTTTGGTACCAAAGGATTGAGGTAACAGGGGAATTTATATTTCTTATTATTTTTTAGCTATTTTTGAATAAATATTACTAGCTATCATGCATTACATGTTTTAAAAGATTAAATGTGCTTTATTAGGGGTTATGAGGTATTACTTTGATTACAGTGCAAATATATTTTCTAATTGTTTAACAACAATGTTTTTATGGAAATGAGATTTATTGCATGCATTGTAAACATAAAGAATAGAAGTTGCACTTAAGGAAGTGTAACTAAGTAAGGTACCTTAGATAGGCTAAGGAACTGTTTAAGGGAGGTTTATAAATGTTATACTATTTTAGAGTGTTGAAGTGGTCAATACTCCGGAAAGGTAGACACGAATAAAAGGCATGATTTCGGTGGGAGTTCACCAACGAGAAGGTGTGGACTTTTGATATTCTATGGCATACTACCGGTACTCAGTGTTGCCTTACGTATTATGGGCTCAGTGCACTAAAGTAGTTAGTGTATTGAGTGTTCGACACCTCTCAGTGGGGGAGGGATCTGACATATGAAGTGTGAGGTTGAGTGCCCAGGCCAAGGTAGCCCTCACATGGAGAGTAAGTCAGGCTAGCTCTGGAAGGGAGTTAGCTTTGACTGCTCAGGATTCACGTCGAAGGGGCATAGGCGGTTCGGTGGATTAGATCATGCCTTAGATTATGTTTTGTGCCTGTGGAGGTACAAGTAGGTATAAGATTTACCTACGAGTTAAAGAGTGCCAGGGGGTATCCTGTTGGTCATAAAAGGCCATATCGGCCTAGGTCATGCATTCATGCATTTTAAATGGCTAAATTATACTATGTTGAATTTATTATTCGTTTATTCAATTATGACTTGCTTTGTAATAATCAATATAGATTTCTCTGTTACTAAGACTGTGGTTGTCTCACCCTTTTCTTTTCAATATTCTAGGTCCAAGCGAAGGAACCAGTGGAGGACGAGGAAAGGAATAGAGCTAGGGGTTGTTTGTGAATTGTAAAGAATTGCAACCCCAAATCTATTGTAATGTATTTAGGATTAGGGTGCCAGTAGGATATGATTATGTATATGTGCATGAGTATGTGTGGATTGTATGGCTTGTGTATGAATTTTTGATTGCTTGTAGACTTGTGGTTAGGAAACTTGGCTATGGTATGTGGTTTTGATGGATTTATTTAGTAGACTAAGTTTTCACTACAAGCAAATATTTATTTTGATATATATGTGATTCCACAAGCAAATGAAAGTGGTTGCATTGCAAATGGTGTGTTATGGGCAAACATATAACTTGGATAGAGAGAGTGGGTGCGTGGGCCCCACAGAGATCTCTGAGTCAAGTGAAAATGTTTAACGTATGTATTCATATGTATATATGATATTTGAAATAGTTTTTTAGTCACTCTTGTGTGATTTGTGCATTTTGGAGGTTTAGGGTCCATTTTGGGAAATGGCACCCAAGTGGTCAAATTTTGGTATAAAGGGTTTTTCTACCATTTAAAAATTTTATCAGGTGTTTTTAGTCCTATTTGACGTGTCCAAAGTGTTCCCACAAGTTTGTAACCATTATGATGAGATTTGGACAATTTTGAAAATGGTTTTTACTAAAAACCTGCACTTTTGCATCCAGGTGTCCAAATCTTAATTCGACCGTTGGATTTCTCTAAAATTTAGATCACAAGTAAAAAATTTTATAAGCTTCGTGTGGGCTTTAGAATCATGTCAATCGGATATCGGATGGAGAAACGGCGTACTCTGAAATTTGGTCTGGAGGAGCTGTCATGATAGCAATATATATTGATGTTGCAACATGCACGAAATTTAATCCGTCTGTTGAATCTTTCCAAAATTTGGTATGCTGATAGTAATATTTAAAAGTGACATGTGAGATTTAGAATCGCTTCGATCGGAGGTCGGATGATGAAATGGTGCACCCCAAAAGTTAGTCCGAAGGTGCTGTCATGACAGCTTTTTAGCTGTCATGACAGCAAAAATAGCCAATTTTTTAACATGTCTAATTTTTAATCCGACCATTGGATCTTTTTGAAATTTGGTACACTTATAGTACCCTTTGAATATGATGTGTGATCTTTAAAATCACTTTGATCAGAGGTCGAATGACGGAACAGCGCCTCCTGAAAGTTGGCCCAGGAGGGCAATTGCTGTCATGACAGCATCTTTTTATTCTACTTTTATCTAGCTTGCTTCCGTGCGCTATAGGTAGAACCTATAATTTTTTTTAAGGTTTTAAATGATTTATTTCTTAAGTTGGTTAGAGGATCAACTCCTTAACCACATTTAGTTTATTTAAATTATGTGATTTTTGGATAACACTTGGGGCAAGTGTTATAGTGTCCCCGAAAATGTTGTACACACGCCCTATTGCAACCACTCGACATTTAGGAGTGTCTGCCAAACAATTGCAATCGTTCCCACCCTAATTAAACAAACAATGAAAATCAGTTTCTAAAATTAAAATAATTAGAAAAATTCATAAGATAAAACATATTACCTTAGGTAGTTTTTCTGAGGGGACTGTGCAGCTATCTTTCTAACTAAAGCTAATCTTACCCAAAGTCCTCCCAGGGACTTGCCCTTTCAACAACATGTCAATTAATACTGCCTGGGCTAGTAGTTGTTGCTTCATAATGGCTTGCTCTTCTCTCAGCTCTCAAACCTCAGACGAAGAAGCTGATGTTCGCTTCTTTATCTTGCCAAAATATTTATTCTTTATGACTCTGAAGCCGACACCCTTGACATGACCAAGGTGCTCAGCAGTTCCCAATGCCCTAGCCAAGATATCCTCATCCTCAGGAAGGTTTCCCTGTGAGACTTCCTCAGAGATGGAATCCTATGTAGAGTAAATATGATTAGTTTGGATATTCATAATTAATTATTAAGTAGTAGATAATATAATACTTACAATATTTTCAGTAACCTCCTTCATGCGGGGGTTGTCAATAATTCCTTCTTTATTAGTGCGTGCCAATGCCCAGAGCTTATGGCAGGATATGGTAACCTCTAATCCCTCCTTTTCTAATTGTTTCTGCTCAATGCTTGCATACCCCAATCTCCCTGCTCTATAAGGATATTCATTCTTCACTACTCTCTCCTTATTCTGTGTACTTAATTCCTTGACAAGTTAATAACAAAAATTTTTATTAGTACATACACATATAATCAATAAATAACACCAAACATGAAATTTAAGAAACATTAATACCTTAAATTTCTTCTCACGCTATGAGGCAACAAAAACATCTCAATCCTCTTGTTTTACCAAAGGCTGTAATAAGGAAGGAACTTGAGCTACAAATTCAGCATCAGGATCTTTCAAATATTTCTGTGTGATGAAATATTTGAAAGACCATAGTGCCCTCCCAGCCTTTTGTAGGACAAAATCTTACCTACTCTCATCAATGTCAAATCCTGACTGCAAAATAAAATAAACAACATATTAGATGCATTAATTTTAAAATTAGTTTATACCAAAATATACTTAGTAAAATGTAACTTACTGCTACAGTATCCCAAATAAGAGCCTTCGTGGCCTCATCTACTTTGCGCCATAATTTTACTATGATAAGCACAGTAGTCTTTGCCACCACCCTAATATAACTTATGAATTTTAAGGATTTAATTGCTTGCCCTTTCTTGTTCCATTACACATCAATTTTTTTTCCTATAGCTCTTGTCTTTGTCACCTCTTCCATTATTGTTAGGCCCTATTGAATGTTATTGTACTCCTGCTTTAGCTTTTTCTGTGTACTTGGAACCTCAGTCGAATTTGTAGCTAGAATTGATGGAGGGGTATCAATAGACTTGCTATCAGAAGCCATTTATCTGTAAAGCAAGACAATTAAATCAAACATTAAATAACTTAAACAAAATTCGCATAATTAATTCAAACATTAATCAACTTAAATAAAAAGAACACAATTAATCAACTTAAATAAAAAGTTTCATCATTCAAGTTCTCATATAACTTAATTATACTCAATCAAGTTACCCAACAATAATTGATATAAAAATTTTATCCCAAAAAATTTGGCAACATAATAGCTTAAAAAAAAGAGTTTTTCAGGTTTTGAACCTCTCTTTATTCAAAAATTTTATCATTCACAAGTTCTCATATAATACTTATACCCAATCAAATTATTAATAGCAACAATTAATACAAAAATTTTGTCCTATAAATTCAATATAACTCAATCATATATAATCAAGTTATCTAACAACAAAATTAATCACCATCACCACAACAAGGGAAGCAAATTTTCAACAAATTCATATAATGCCCAACAATAAATTAATTTTTATATAATCTTAAATTTAATTTCATAACTAACAAAGAACTGAAAACCAAAGCCTATATACATTCAATCACAAATCATAGTTCTAATGAACAAAAAATTCATATTCCAATTGCTAATTCCAATTAACTCCCTAATTACAATCAATTGACAACAATATCAAAAGGAAGAAGGATAGGCTAACTTACTTAAGAGAGGCAGAGCACAAGGATGAAAAAGAAGAGCAAGGGAAGGAGGAAAGAAGACAATTCACATTTTGTACTATTGAAAAGCAAGTAGAGGAATTTGAAGTCAGATTTACCCTAAATACTAAACCCAAAAACGAATTAAATAGATGAAGGAGAAAATAAACTTACATATAGAAGACGGAGAACGAACCCAAAACGCCCGAAATGAAGACTTGGATGAACGAACAACCCACAAACCCTAAAAAATGGAACCCACGAGCAAAACCTAAGAAGAATTGAGTCTAAATATGTGTTTTTGGCAGTTTCAGTGATGAAAAATGATTTTTGAGCACTCTAGGTGTGTTTTCAAAAACGTTCGAGTTGCAAAAATATGAAAATGAAAGTTTCTGGAGCATAAATTTAAAAGGCAATACTTGATGGTTATTTCATAATAACCATTCAGTATTCCTTACTTGACGCTTGTTATTAAATAACTGTCAAATAAAATGCAGACATACTTGACGGTTATTAATAAACAAGCGTTAAGTAATTAATTTTTTTATTTTTTCCTTTTTAACCATATATTTGATGCTTTTTTACAAATAACTGTCAAGTGCTCCAAAATATACTTGACAGTTATTAGCAAACAAGCATCAAATATATTCATAAAAATATCAAATTTGGGATGCAGATATATTTGACAATTACGCCAATATAACCGTCAAATATATACTAAATACTTGACAGTTATTTTGAAACAACCGTCAAGTATTTAGCGCCTTTTTTATTTATCATTTTACACTTATAATCATTAAATATAAGGTGTCATATTTAGCTTATTCTGTTGTAGTGAATGTGTTTAAGAAGCATATTGAAATTGTTTATATGTTTCGATTTTGGCTAGTAGATTTAAAATAGTAGTTAGAACCTAAGGTAGTGGATATTAAATTTAATGTTAGGTTGTAGTGCTTCATTAACCTTACTAAGGGCATAAGTGAATGGGAAGGTTTCTCTTATCTTTGTTGGATTAAGGCTAAATTACCAATTTGATAAGAAAATAATAAATAATTGATTTTAGGATTTTTGTTTTACTTGCTAAGAAACTAATGGCATCATTGGAATTAAGGTAAGAAGTTGAAGTGAATGAGCTCTAAAATTTTGAGAAACTCTCAGGTGAGTGGGTAGCGTTCTAAGTAAATTCTTAGTAAAGTGTTTATAAAAATCTCCCTATTTAGAATTTTATCATTAATCTTTTATAAGTTGTAAAAATATTCTCATTTATCCTATTTTCCTAATAATTTTTTTATTAATGAGAATGTGTTGATTTTATTGATAGTTTATATAGTTGACAAGTATTGATGAAAAATAATAATTGAACAGTATTTGAAAGCAGAAAAAGAAAATTTTGAAATTGTTCTCTTGCTTCATACATGTTTAATTTTACTGAGGGGGATCGAGTTCAGAACGCTAGATGCCAACGGTAGTTCCATTAGCCCTTAGTGCACTATGGTACACCTAGCTAGCAGGATGTTTATGGGAGGTGCTAGCCCCGTGTGAAGGTCGACACACATGGATCGGAGGGACGGTTATTCATGAGTATTGTACTCACGCTTGTTTTCATAGGCTTTATGCCTGTGCTTGATTCGTGGCTCCTGTCGCACTTGTAAAGTGGCTTTTAGCTGTGCTAGATTGGTTATTTACCCTCATAGACTATGTGTCCATGCTTGTTATTAGTTCTAATAAAACCCTC